AGGCAACAGGCTGTGAGGTATCAAAAATGTCAAAATTTCTTGGACACACACGCGAAATAATGGCAATTTTTTCTTGACCGTTTTCTTGAGAGCTGCATACAGGGCTTTAGGAGCGAAAAAGTTTTGTGTATTGATTTATGTATGCATTCTTGTAAATATTGTTAACTTTTTGTTTTTGTTAAATACATACAAACTGTTATGAAAAAAGCATCCATTGATTCAAAACCATTTGGTGCTTTTAGTGTGGTAAAACGCTTTTTTTTCGAAGTTTTTGGTGCTTTTTGAAAATCAAAAGTTGGCAACACTGAGAGAATGTAATGAGAAATTAAAAAGGGTCGTGTCGTTGTGCGCCACAGCTGATGCATGTTGCATTGAAATGTTGCGATTACTTATACTTTACTTTATTTTGCTTGCATTCTTATTGTCTTTGCTGTTTGTCAAGGTAGTGTGGTGCTGCTGCTGCTGGTGTTTTATTGGCTTTTGTTTTTGTGCAGCGGAAAACCACAAACAGAACCGCTAAGCTAAGCAAATTCCTACCGCCAAGAGCGGATGGAGTTATTAAGACTAATTATCGCTTGCACTACTGAGTTGAGTTGTTTCTTTTGTTGCTATTTTATAGTTACTATACATAGGTAGCTCTTCGTACAATTAAAAAATGTATTTATTCAAATGAATACAATTAAAAGTGGAAATCATGCGCAATTTCTTTTGCAAAATGTTGGTGGTATGGAAGAAGAAGGAAGAACACTATAAAAAGGAAAGGAAAATGCATGGCTTTGTAAAACTGAAATACTGCAACGAATTTAACGACTTACATTTTTGAAAAAAAAAAAACATTTTTTCATTCACATTTTCAGTTTAAATGAAACCATTTTCAAATTAAATGAAACCTTTTTCAGATTCAATGCAACTTTATTCAAATTAAATGAAACCTTTTTTTTCAAATTAAATGAAACATTCTTATAGCCTATTTCCACCAAAGGCTTAACTGCAGTTAAGAGCTCGGAAAAGTTCAAGTAATTCCAACGTTGGGTGATCGGAAAGGTTTTTTTTTTTGTTTTTTTTCCTTTCGTTTGCTTCTACTTAATAGGTGGGAGGTTCGAGTTGTAATCTCCGTTTTTTAAACGGCATAAACTGCAGTTAAGGCTTGGTGGAAATAGGCTATTAAAAGGAAGTTTCATTTAATTTGAATAAAGTTTCATTGAATCTGAAAAAGGTTTAATTAAATTTGAAAAAGTGGTCGCTTTGTTTGAAAATGTTTTCATTTAATTCTAAAAAAGTTTCATTTAAACTGAAAATTTTATATAAAATATAAAATATTTTAAATTTGATATCAAGTTTACTCGAAGTTCCCGAGGTACTTATGTTCGACTTTTTTATATGGAAGAAAATGAGCAACACAAAACAACGGTGAGTCCTGTGAAGTGAGCAACAAAACTGCATACTCAGAATCTTTCTAAGAACTCGTATTGAAAAGCTCGATATTTTATTAAATTTTTTTTTAATATTCTGATTTTTGCTAAAGAATAAACATGAAGCGACACTTTATGAATCATCCACAAATTTTCAAAACAGATTAACTCAACAAGTTTAGCCTCCACAGCGTAACTTCTGGAAATACTACAATTCTTGTGCTTTTATTTACTTCCTTCCCCTGTTTACGATTAAATTACTGCATAAAATTATTACATACATACTTTGTAAGTAAAGCATTATGATTTGAAGCTGTTAAAAAAGTCGGCTTAATACAATTGACGATTCGCACCGATGCTTAACTAAGCCAAGTTAATGCAATGCTGGACTAAACAAAGAATCATGACACTTACATAAATACAAACGGACATATGCATACATTTGCACATATCTATTTACCTATATGTATATATGTATGCTTGCCACGTTTGCCACTGATATCCGATATAGTGGTTGTAATTGAAGAAATCACTATGTAGTCATAACTGGGTAAACAAGTAAGTCATCATACACACAAAGCAAGCAAAAGTAAACGTGGGCGGCGGCTAAATATGCTTACATAATAATAATCTGCAAATGAATATGTCTGTTTGTAAATCGCAAATGCCGAAAGGTAGCTTTGTCACTAGAACAGCAACGATCGCCTATAAGTATACATATACATAACGATATATCGTTGGTGACGAAGCCATCAAACTATCAAAGGCAATGAACTGCAAATATGTAATAACAAAACTACTAACTATACTCGTACGCACAGCAATCAAATACATAGAGGCACGGCGACAGCACAGCACGCACGGGGAGGGCGCGCGCACCAATTGTGGTGACTGAGTGCAAAAAAGGTACTTAAGTACACACATATTGCATTGCGTAAACATTTTTGCATGAAACTAATTGTTGTGGCATGCAAGTCAACTGGCAATTGTGCAGCATCGCTTTGTTGTTATTTTTCACTTCACTTTTGTTCGGCATGCAAGTACATACATACATATGTATTTACATAGTACATACATTTATATGTGTCAAATGATGCAAATGTGAACTGAAACTGTCACAGATATGACTGGCTAATAAAAGATGAAAATAAAATGAAAATGATGCATGCGTGTGCTTAAAAATAGCTGATGCATCAGAGCGAGTTGCATTTCAAGAGTGGGCCAGGCCAATACCATAAGCACTGTGTCGACAGCATTAAATGCATTAGGCAGATCCCAGCGTTGAGCGTTGTATATATATAAGCGATGAGAAGCGGTAAAATTTGTATGGCACTAACTGCCGGTTTCACCAGCAATTTAAGTGAAAATGGTTTTTTCCCTTCACTAAGTTCTCATATAATATGCATATCAAATAAAAAAAAATATATCCTTTTTCACTTATTGGCTGTTAGAGGGTTAATCTATAAAAATGGAAAAAGAATATCTAATTATGGGTTATCGAAAAAACCACGACATCTGCCAAAATTATAATTGTAAAATAAAAGTTAAATAAAATATCGCCTATCTAGTCAATACCATTAACGAAATTCAGTTATTTCTTTCTCCCGTAAAATTTGAGTGCCGTAAGATAGGCGGCTTTGCAACTGGTCGATGGACTGGCTGTTTTTACGAACTTTTACGAACATATTAAACGGCAATTAGCTGCAGTGGTATGTATGAACCACATGAAAGACAAATTAATGGAAAGCAAAAACTTTCCAGAGGATTTGTGTGATGACATTTCAAAATCTCGCTAAATACAAACCATAAATTTAGTCAGTAGGCGCATATTTGAGTGGCGCGTGGTGGCGTTGAATCAACTTTTATATACACAAAAAAAAAAAACTTGTTTCAAACCAAAACTGTTGTAGCAAAAATCGATTGGCCTTATTCATCTTCTTCTTCTCATATATAAAAACGACGTGTGTGTGTGTTGTAATGGCGTTTATAGACTAGAGAACTACTGAACCGACAGAGTTAGGGCAACAAAAAAAACCGATAGGTGGCGCTGCACTTGAAATTTCTATAAAAAGACATATTTTCAGTCCAATTTGAACAAAATTCAGAACATGTATTACCCACGTAAATAGAAATAGTGTTTTCTAACAGATAGGTGTTGCTGGAGCCAAGAGATATCTAAAAACTGCATTAACTTACAATTCGATTGGATTCACTTTCATAGTATACAGTTGCGGTCAAAATTATAGCACTAAAATTCAGAATGGTGTTGCTTGCATCTTAGGTATATTTATTTATTTTTAACCATTTTCATTTAAATTATAGTACGACGATTGGCTTGCACCAAGTTCAAAAAAATTGATTAAAAAAAAAAAAAAATGTTATCAAAATTTCAAACATTTTGTAGCCGATTGAATTTAAGTGTAATAAATTGTAAGTTTCTAGTCGCTAAAGACTACCGTTGATTTTGTAGATTTTTTTTTTACCGAGGGAGTCCAGCATTTTCTTCTTAAAAAAATAAGTAAACTTCGCAGTATGTAGGGAGAATCAAATTTTTTAAAAATATCGTATTTTGGAGCACTTTTTGTGAGAAATAAGTTATCATCTATGCAAATAATACATTGCGTAGATAGTATCTCTGGATAGATCTGATAGTTGTGTTACTATACGCCTGCCTTGTGTTTTATGCCTAAAAATCGCAAGGTCGGAAAATTTCTTCGCTTATCGTCTAACATCTGCAGTAAATTCCAGTGACCCGTGTTTATTGGTATTATTATAAATATTTCTTCTCTTTGCCCTGGTTTCGTTAGGACAGAGTCCACTCTCTCAATGCAAAGGAATTCTCTTTGCTCTCTCACAGCTTCAAATTGGCCGCCCAAGCAGGCTCACGCCAATTCATCAGCTCTCCCATGCATTCGATGTTCATATGACCGGAAATACAGGCAAGGGATACGATCATCGACTAAGACTACCAGCTTACGATATGACAACCAAAGTTGCTATTGCTAATAAAGTTGCCTGGTTGTCAGAATATACTGCCGACTTATTTTTGTTACCAACACTTTAACCTCAGACTTTAGAGACTCAAAATTAGCTTTAATGTATAAACTATTTTCGAAAAAAAAAAACGGAACTGAGATTGCCTTTTTTGTCCTCAAGTTATTAATTAATCCGTGCCATATTGGTAATTTGATCCACTGTGCAGCCCTGACTCTGGTGAGTCTCACTGCAGATTTAATAGTCACTTATTTCAGATGAAGATCAATAGTGATTCGGGTAGAGCAGGACCTTACCGCGCCCGTTATTCCTGCACCTTCTTGCTAACATATTATTTGCTTAGATCTGTTTTAGTCCTCAATTTCATCAAATTTAAATCTTAACACAGCAAAACCAGAAAGCGCAACAGTTTATTTTTATATTACGCTGAGTGTGACGACGCAAAAGAATTTCTCAGACTTCTGTAAAATTAGTAAAATTTAAGTGAAAAGCAACGTCTTTTGGTAAAATATTAACTAAAACTTATTTATGAACATCTCTCAACTTATGTACAAATAAAAATAAATTAAAAATTAAATTTAGCAAAATACTAACCAAACCAATCATTACTTAGTGTCACCGTTATTTGGCTTAAATCATCTGACGCTGATGACTTGTCGTATTCCGCAATCGTCAATCGATCATTGATGGCTGCCAACGACGAACGACGTTTTGTCGGCTCGGAGGAGGGCTGCTGCCGCCGCTGTGCAACAACACCATCTACTTCATCTGCGTGTGTGCGCAAATTCGAGTCTTGACTACTCCCAACCGCGGCACTGCGATAAAATTTACGCGCGGCACGTAGGAAATTAAATAGGCGCGTCGTATCAGCGGAAGATACGCTCGGCGATGACGCGGGCGCGGGTTTTGACACACATTTTACACTCGCGCGCGTATTCGGGTTTGCATTATTTGTATTTAATGCATTCGAATTGTTTTGCGAATTGCTGTTGCTTCCCGCTGGCGCTGCCGGTGAGGGGGCTCTACTACTTCCAGCAGTTTTATTGTTGCAATTGCTGTGACTGTTTTTGTTGTTAATACTTTTTATTACGGCTTTTATTGCACTGCCGCCACTAACATTCGCCTCGCTTTGACTTTGGTTTTTTCTATTGTTCCACACCGATTTGTCATCGGAGTAATAAAAATCTTCTTGCAAGCTGCGCGTGCCATAACCATTAGATGCAGCCGCCGCTACCAGCTTCAGCGATGTATCGCCGCTGTCGTTGCTAATCTCCGCGCCATGTTGTTCGTTGCTTCCGCGCCGTACTGCCACCACTTTCGCAAGACCTGTGGTTGCAGCCGCTGTTGTCGCGGCGCTCGCATTCCTAAATTCTTTATGAGTAGTGACGCTGCTGGCGCTGCGTGTCAACGGCATACGTTCAACCGTGTGGGCACGACGCTTTAGTGCGGCACCGCTGCTATGTCCATATCCGCCGCCACTGGCCTTGCCATTGCGGCTGCTACCAATGATGGCTTGCTTGCACCAATAAATGTTGTTGCTGCTGCCTACGCCGCCTACGCCGCCACCGCCAGCACCATTGTAGTAGTAGCGCCGAGGCGTATCCACCGCTGTCGGTTTGCCTTGAGGTGCGTGCGCATTTGCTGAGGCAGCAGCAAATTTAAGTGAATCACGGTGGCTTGAGGAATTACTGCGGCGACGGCGCTGACGCTGAGACGCATTTGAGGCGTGCGAGTTGAATGACGAGTGCGACGAGGACGAAGGTGATGTGGTGGAGGAGAAGGAGTTAAATGTAGCGTGCGCTTTACCGTTGTTGGTATCTCTGCTGTTGTGGTTGCTGTCGTTGTTATTGCTATTGCTGCAACTGCTAATTGTAGCCGAGATAAGCGCGACTTTGGGAGAATTCAAATGCCTTAAACGTTGACGTAGTGAATGCTCGAATTCGTTGACACTGCCGTCAGAGTTGCTTGGATCGTCGCTGCAAATGGCGAACGATGTTGCGGTTGTCGTAGATGTTGCCAACGATGTTGCTGAGTTCGGCGAATGTTGAGTGCCGTTAGCTACGTATGTTGAGCGATGTGCAACATTGTTGCCGGACTCGGTGGGCGTGAGATACGAATTGGATTGAATGAATACGCCATCGCAAGTTATTTTTATTGTTGTCACCATGTTTTTCGAGACATTATTTTGAAGAAACTCACAATTAAGGAAGAATTGGGCTCTTGCCAAGTTTCAACAAAAATTACCAATGTTCGTGTATTTTAAGGGGACAATTATGTGCCACTGTGAAGCTCTGACTAGGACCGGCCTTAGAAGCAAATGACGTAAATTGCACTCAGCCAAGGGACCGGTCGCGAGGCTTCCTAGCAATACTTGGATCAAAGGAGACCTGTAGCCGGATAGAGGTTTGTTACAAGAGACCTTATCTTATCTAATCCAAATTTAACCTAATCAAATTATCACTTTCCTCGCAAAGTTAAAGAAAAAACCCACAGTGGAAAATTTTGAACTTTTGGCAAAAATTCGAGAAAAATATTGAAAAGCGCCAAAAAAATATCGTAGTAGTTATTTTGATATTTTCTGTTATGGAGATCGTTATTTGGAAGGCTTCTATTTTTTCGGTTATAAATGATCGACAAGATAATAAATATGATAAAAAATAAGATTCCACAAGAACGATTAAATCTAGGTTTAACAGTTAAATTATGGTAATTTTTGCTAGACATCAAGGAACAGCCAAGCTAAGATTTAAATCCACAAAATGAAATTAGAGAAAAATAAGAAGAGTCCCAAAATTTCCAATAAAGTAAAATACTTCAGTTCATTATCAACGCCTAAGGGTACGTTCACACAGGAAGTGAGGCCGAGCGGAGCGGAGCCGTTCCGAGATTTCAAATTAATGTAGCTATACATATGTATGTAAGCGTTCATACAGCAAACTTTTCCAGAAGTGTTTTGGAGCTTAAAGCAAAGCACTTTTTAATTTTCAATTTTCATTATGATTTTTCTGCTTCATGACTCTGATGTGAACAAAAAAAAAGGTAATTAAACGAAAGTCTATTTTACGAGAAAGCATTTAAAACAAATTGATCAAATATTTTAGCCGCTTGTCATAGAAAGTCAGCAAAAAGCCCTGCTCCGCTTCGTCAAGTGCGAACACCAGCAGCTCCGCTCCGCTCCGCTCCGCTCCGCTCTTCCTTGCATCGCTCGGCGCCACTCGGCATTCTGTATGAACACACCCTAAATAAAATCAAAAGCACCCACAAAAGATTTTTATATACACTTAGGTCTCTTTCTATGCGGCTTTTTTTATGCGGATTTGAATTAATGCGGGTTTTCAAATCATTATTTCGCAGTAGCGACTTTGCTTTTTTGAGAGTTTTTATTACTTTTTTTCAATGTGTAAGAGACAATGCTTCTGATAAATAATTTGTCTTTGTATTCTTTCATAAGTCATGTAATTATTGTGGTATTTTTATTTTTATTTTTTTGTTAAAATAGATAAAATTTTATTTATTTCATTAATGTTCCTATGTAATGTGGTATCACAATGGACAATCAAATGTCTAAGTGAGTCCCCTTTGCGGGTCTGCCACCTTAACCTAACCTAACCTATTAATGTTCAGTTTTACATGGAATAATAAGTGTTGAGGTGAAGAAATAAATAGTTTTTTTTCTTAATAATGCCTCACTGGATTATTTTATGCGGTTTTTAGAATTTTTTGCATGGACTATCTGAATTTATGCTGTTTTTGAAAATGCTGGAACGCATCCCCTGTTTTTGTATGAAAGTAAAGAACTTTTTTTATGCGGATTAACCCTTGTAAATATTCAATGTATTGTATCTATATACATAAAAAGTTGATGAGAGGTTAGTTCGTTTAGCTTAATTCTTCCGACACGGTGAGAAGATGTTGTAACGAAACTCCGTCAGTCCCTCTTCAATTTGGTTTGGAGACAAACCAGTTTCGGTGTAAGCCACCGTCAGTTTAGTTTTTCGTTTTGAGAACAGTTTCACAGGAAGCCCACTTTCTTATTTTCTTCTTTAGAATTTACCAAGCGAACACTCATTTGTCAAGCTGCGAAAATTGTCAATTTGTTTTTTTTCACATTTACGCTCTTGATTAGAAACGCAGCAGCACAAAACATAATAAGTTAAAAATAAAAACAAAAACTATACAACAAATGCACAAAAACATCGCAAGCAATTCATTAAATTAAGGTCAACAGCCGATTGTAGGCGGAAAGCGCAAGCCAAATCGGCTGCCACAATTCTGAATGCGGAAAATCGCCAAATAGGCACCGTTAAATATGTATAAGACGTTATTATGGTCTCGCACTGGCGTTTATTATTACTTTGTTTTTTTTTTTTTTTTGTTTTCAAGTAATTTCAAATCTGTTCACCTTTAAGCGCACAATTTATTTTAAAATTGAATTTTTTCAGCTTTTTGTACTACGCTTCGGCTTTGCCAAACAGTAGTTCGGTACAAATTGTGCCAAGAATAACAAAAAAAAAAAAAAAAATAATAGCTACTAAAAAATCATCACAAACTCAAAAGAGCTACATACAATTGACGCTAACAGAGATTTTACACCGCAAAATAGCTAGCCAGCCATTCAAGCAAATTCGTACAAAGCGTATTAAAAAAAAAAAAAAAGAAAAGTCATCACAACATATTTAATTGTGGCACAAATGTATGTAAATCTCATTCGTACCGCACACACACACACACCCACACATCGCACGCCGCGGCCACCACACCCAATGACATTGTGAATTTTGTGTGTAACATTTGTAGTGTAGGCCAATTAGTGACAATTCTATTTCTACGCCACTCTTCGACTTTTCTACTTCTATTTTCATTATTTGCAGTGATTCTGCAAAAAGCAAGAAAAAACTAAAAAAAACAAAAAATAACTGAAATGTCCAATTCAATTCCTATCTAACTAAAATTGATTCACATATTCGTCGCACAGACTTTCATACAATGTGTACAATGACGACAAATGAGCAAATCAACAAAAAAAAAAAAAAAAAATTGCTCCATGAGAAATGCTGCGTTCCACATACGCCCTGTTGTACACTTCAAACATTGCCAATACATACAAACAGTTACGAACAACAGTATTGGCACAGTGAATTTTTCGCAATATATGCCATGTTTTCTATTCTTATTTATTTTTTTTTTTTTATAAAAATATAGTTCATACTCGACACAAAAAACTTAAAAATAAAATGCCTAACCTTTGTGAAAAACTCCGAAAAATTCATTAAATTTGCAACTAATTTGCAACTTTTTATTCAGATAAATGCGATTTTCTATACTCTTCAAACTTGAACCTTCTTATACTAAAGTTGAAAGAGCTATAACACTGCATACTTGGAATTTTTCTAAAAAATCTGAACAAAAAGTTGCAAATTAGTATGCACATTTATTGAATTTTCCTGAGTTTTGCTTAAAGTTTAGTGATTTTATTTTTATGGGTTTTCGTGTAGTATAAATCATATTTTTATGAAAAAAAAAATAATGATAATAAATTAAAATAAAAAACTTTGCATACATTGCGAAAAATTCACTGTGCCAATACTTTTGTTCGTCACTGTATTCGCTTTTTTTTGGCAACAACGGCAAAGGCAACGTACGAATTCATGTACTAATTTCAAATGCTCTTTATCTATTTGCAAGTACATATACATGTTAGGACATACATAAGCATGTTCATTTGTTGTAACTGCATTGTTGGTATTTTTACGTAGTTTTACTTTAGCGCAAAAAAATTCAAAACTAAAATCGACTGAAATTGTGTAAAAGTAAATGGAATCAACTAAAGCAAACAGCTTTCATGACAGGCTCCCATAGTGAATACTAAAGTATATGGTGGGTAATATCTAGGTATGTACATTAGGGTGTGCCTTATAAATTTTTTTCCATTTTCCATACCTCGTCAGGATTGGAAGTTATAGAGCCTTTCTTTGCATAACTTTAGGGCTCTTGAGCCACGTCTTTCCATTATCCGATTTTGAAAACCTTTCGCAGAGCACATTTTTATAACCAAATGAACCTAAAGAGGGCGAGTCTTATTTTGTGGGTCAAAGTTGAAAAAAAAATGCGCACCCTAATGTATATACATATAAATGTATTTACACAAGACGAGTATGAACAAATACATGTACATATGTACATTAGACCGCACCATCTTACAAGCAAACAGAAAACCCTCAAGATTTTTTTCAAGGCAATTAAAAAAAAAAAGATAAATAAAAAGTTTCAGAACCTAATTTTAAGATCTGACTGTAAGCGCCCAAAATTACAAAATGCGACCCTGCGCTCGTTAAAAAAAAAATATTAATTGCCTTCGAATTGAAGTACTTACACTGTTAAAGTTTAATGATTTCTCGCGAGCTTTACTTTACTGGGTAAGCACTAGAACGGGGTATTTGAGGTCAATGACCTTTGGAGCAAAAAAAAATATATATATATATATCTTCGAGACAAGAACATCGATGCATGCTGAAGAAGTGACGAAAAATGTAAAAAGCCTACCCCTAGGCTCAGCCGAAAAAGAACAACTTTTTTCCAAATTGCCTTGCAAAAATACTGAAGACTCAGCGGTGTCCGACGAACTTTTTTTTCCTTCTCAAACAATCTGAAGAATTATTTTTCGTTATTTTTTATTGCTTGAAAAAGCACTTCGGCTTTGCTGTACATATATTTTCTTGAAGTAAATGAGGCCGTGAGAGCAGAAGAATATGGGACCTTTATTTTAAAATGTATAACATTTGAGACTATTTTAAGTGGGTAAGTATAAAAAACAAATTTTTGAGTTAGTTGTTAAATTCTTGGATTATGACATATTACGTCAGTGGATTGCATCCTAAAAATCCTTTAATTTGCTATGCGCCCTTTGGATTTTTAGCGCAGAAAAGATCCGATCAGTGGATCATGAGATATATATATATATTTTTTTTTTATATGAGTTGAAGTCGGTTTTTTTTATGCTAAAAATTACTTGTTTGTATACCAATTTCGCAGTGGAGCTTTTCTTTGGTTAGTAGAGGCGAATTTGAAGGATTACTGGTATTTTTTTTTGCGGTGTAGTCTTTCAATGTATGTGAGCGAAATTTTAAATGCTGATAGTATCTGATTTTCCCCAGTGTCAAAATATACAAAAATATGTACATCGCACACTCAAACGCCACATCGCAATTTCACCTATTCCTGCTTAGCAAATGAACAAGCCAAGCAAACACCCACCCACCATCGCACGGCTGGCTATTTCTTTCATCTTTTTGGTATGCATGTAATCATGCGCATTTGTAATGTAGTATGTACTCGTAGATATGTATGTATATACATATATACTCATAAGTAAAGTGCATACTCGCTG